CCCCTCCCTTTCGAGCCCCTTCTCCGTCTGAGCGCCCTCTGCGTCCGAGCCCCCTCCCCGTCCGACCCTCTCCCCGTCTGAGCCCTCTCCCCGTCCGAACCCTCTCCCCGTCTGAGCCCCTTCCCCATCGAACCCCCCACCGCGTCGAGCCTCCTCCCCGTTCTGAGCCCCCTCCCGTTCTGAGCCCCCTCCCGTTTCCCGAACCCCCCCTCCCCGTCCGAGCCCCCTCCCCGTCTGAGCCCCCTCCCCGTCCGAACCCCCTCCCCGTCCGAGCCCCCTCCCCGTCCGAGCACCCTCCCCGTCTGAGCCCCCTCCCCGTCCGAGCACCCTCCCCTGCAAACCCCCTCCCTGTCCGAGCCCTGCCCACGGCGGGCCTCTCACCTGAGCTGAGTGCCCGAGCGACCCGCTGGCGCGCTGCCGCCGAGGAGCAGGTGCGAGCCCCTCCCGCCGGCGCCGGGCTCTTTCTGGCCCGCACTCCCCGCCCCCGCCCGCCCCTCCCCGCCCCCGTTCACGTGCCGGTCCTTCCTTCTCCAAGTCCTCGCTTTCCTCCCCGCCCCTGACCTCTACCTGCCGTGTTCCCCGCCCCGACACTCCTCAGAGGTGCGCTCCACGGGGTCCGGTCCATGGGCAGCGCTGCGAGCAACTGTGACCTCCTGGGATGCAAAGCAATGACAGAGCCCGGGAGGCGGCGGCCGGGCCTGGGAGAGAGGCTGTGCTCAGGGGAATGTGTCACATCCTGGACCAAGCCAGCCTGGTAGTTTCAGCTGGGTGCAGCCACACCAAGCTTCCTCCCTCCCTCCCTCCCTTCCTTCCTTCCTTCCTTCCTTCCTTCCTTCCTTCCTTCCTTCCTTCCTTCCTTCCTTCCTTCCTTCCTTCCTCCCTCCCTCCCTCCCTCCCTGGCCTGCCTGCCTTCCTTCCTTCCTTCCTTCCTTCCTTCCTTCCTTCCTTCCTTCCTTCCTTCCTTCCTTCCTTCCTTCCTTCCCTCCTTCCCTCCCTCCCCCCACCCCCTCAAATCTGCCACTACTAGGCAGGCACAGTTCTGGGTGCTGGGGTTAGAGCTGCGACGGAGAAAAAGTCCTTGCCCTGAAAGAGCAGCTTCCTACTAAGAAATGCTAATTTTCGTTGTTGCATCAGGTGGCCTCAGTGTTCTCATCTGTGCCTTAAGGGTTGGCTGAGTTGAATTTCCCACCTTTTTGCTCATCAATCCCTGTGGCAGGTGGAAGAATGCAAGAGCCCAGGCTCCATCTCAGCTAGCCATGGGAATCTGGGAGGAGTGCTGCCAGGTGTCCCAAGCAGGTCAAACGCAGGCCGTTTGCCTCGTTTAAATATCCCAGTCCTGGCCGCCTCCCAGGCTCTGCCATGACTTTGCTTCCTAGGACAGTGGTCGGCAAACTTCGGCTCGCGAGCCACATGCGGCTCTTTGGCCCCTTGAGTGTGGCCACGAAGTTTCAATCGCACTGTACGTGCGCGCCCGCACGTGGTATTTTGTGGAAGAGCCACACTCAAGGGGCCGCAGTTTGCTGACCACTGTCCTAGGAGGTCACAGTTGGTCGCAGTGGGTGCCCATGGACCGGACCCTCCAGCTGCGAGATTGACAAGCGTGGCGGTGACCAGAGGAAGCCAGGGCTGAGATCGCTAAAACACCTTCCAGCTTATCCATTGTCGAGGGCGCAGGAAACCAAGAAAGTCTTCCTGGAAGAGATGCTGCATTTAGGTTTAAAAGGCAAAGGATACACACTAGCTGGGTGGAAGGGAAGGCTCCCAAATACAGCTTCTTTTGATCCAATAACTTTCCTTTTCTACAAAGGAAGGCACTTTTGAGGATAAGGCATAAATCTGAGCAAATCTCCTCTCTAAGAGAGTGGGTGCACCCCCGCCCCTAGCACGCCTGCATTTTCCCCCTCCCCTTTTACTTCCCCCACATGGGTGCATCTTCTAAACTCTGAGGAACCCCAGGAGACCTGCAACCAGGGGAGCAATGGTCAGGGGTAGCTTGTCCTGGGCTAACTAACCCCCCTGAACCTGTCTCCAGGGCCCCCTTTTCTCGGCCTCTCCAGGGAGCTGACAGCAGCCCCGCCTTGGCTCACTTCTCTCCCATAACGTTTCCAGAGAGCCAGAGCAGCCCTGCCTTATCTCTCTTCTGTTGCGTCTTCTATCCTAAGTCTTTCCTTGTTCCACTGTCCCTGGCTTTAATAAACACACTCTAAATAAATAAACAAATAAATAAATAAATAAGAGGAAATGAAGCCTGGTGGAAGGAGATAATGGCAGAGAGGCACTGAAACCAGTTAAAGGCTGATGGAGCCACACACTTCAGATGGATAATGCGCCAGAGCCAGAGCTGGGAGAGCACCTCTCTCATTTCCCATCATCGTGGGACTTGCTCACACCCATTGTTTTTCAAATGGATGACAAGGTGGCGTCTTGGACGCCTGTTACCCTGGGACATCCTGTTCCTTGTCATCAGATCTCTGCTATGGTCAGGCTTTCTATTTAGTGAGGTTTTCTCTTCCTCTAAGGCTCTGATGATGAACAAATGTGTGACCTCTTAGTTGTAGTTATGGTGGGAAGAGATGCTTCTTAACATTGAAAAATTGGAACTAGCCTGGCTGGTGTGGCTCAGTGGTTGAGCATCCATCTATGAACCAGGAGGTCACGGTTCAATTCCCAGTCAGGGTACATGCCTGGGTTGTGGGCTCAATCCCCATTAGGGGGTGTGCAGGAGGCAGCTGATCAATGATTCTCTCTTATCATTAATATTTATCTCTCTCTCTCCCTCTTCCTTCCTCTCTGAAATAAGTAAAAAGATAAAAGAAAAGTCAGAATTAGGAAAATGATCTCTGCCTCAAATTATAATATCCAAGTGCCAGAACAAACCAGTTTTTACAAAACAGGTTGATCATCTTGAACTTGATCTGTAAAAATAATGTAAATCAAATAGCAAATCAAACAGTTAACAAAAGATAAAATTACTAATATATCAACAACTATAAATTAATACAATAAGAACAGCTAACAACTATTATAAAGCTATTTTAATATAATAGTGTCTAGAAACAGTTCCAATTGTATGTGGGCCTTAATAAACCAGAGGATGGCATTTTAATTCAATGGAAAATGGTTTATTTTATAAATATTGCTGACACAATTGACCATTCTTTTGGCATAGTTTATCAGAGAATTGCTCAGTATCTAGTCTCTCTTGGCCATGATGGTATTAATGGGGCACATGGCCACCTGGAATGAGTGGGATTTTTCCCAGTCTTCCTTTTTAGCTAGGATGGATTACATGACTCAATTCAGGACAATAGGCTATTAGTGGAAGTGGAACAGGCAACTTTTAGGTAGAGTCCTGAGGTAGGTGTGCCCATCTTCTCTCTCTGCTGCTCAATGGAACGTGGACATCACAATGAGCCATCTTGGACCACGAAAATGCAGGGTGGCGTAAGAGGATAAAAAAGGCTGGATCCTTGGATGATCTCATGCAGAAGTTTCAACACTAGTTTCCACACCAGTCCTGAAATGCCCATACAATTATATCCTGTATAAGTCACAGCTATTTGAGATTTTTTGTATATGCAGCCAAATGGTAGGACATCTTGCCCTTAGTTTTATACCAGGAACAAATAAAAACAAAAAATGGCTTAGAGGAAGATCTAAATATACTGTTTACTTTGCCCACTAATCACAGTTTGGAGATTCCTAGTACATCATAAGAACCTTAAAGATTTTGACTGCAGCACTATTTATAACAGCAAATGTTTGTCAATATGGGAGTAGTTAAATATAGTATAGCGTGCCCTTTCTATAATATATTGTGTAGTTATTAAAAAGGATGAATTAGATTTATATTTGCTGACCAGGAAAAATAGTCATGACGTATTATTAAAGTTCAAAAGCTTGCAGAGTAGTGTGTGTGTGGTAAAATATATGTAACATAAAATTACCATTTTAATAATTTTACATTATACAGTGGCATTAAGTACATTCACATTATTATGCAACCATCACCTCTATCTCCAGAACTTATCCATCATCCTATATTGAAACTGTAAACCCTTTTAGTAATAACTGCCCATTTCTTGCTTCCGTAGCCCCTGATAAGCACTGTTCTACATTGTCTCCGTAAATTTGATTACTCAAGCTGTTTCCTGTACATGAAATTATACAGTATTTGTTTTTTTAATAGATTTTTATTGATTTCAGAGAGGAAGGGAGAGGGAGAGAGATAGAAACATCAATGATGAGAGAGAATCATTGATCAGCTGCCTCCTGCATGCCCCCCACTGAGGATCGAGCCTACAACCCTGACCAGGAACACAACCATAACCTTTTGGTTCATAGGTTGAACCCAACCACTGAACTACACCAGCTGGACAGAATTTGTTCTTTTGTATTTGGCTTAATTCACTTAGCAAAATGTCTTCGTGGTTCACCCATGTATCAAAATTTCATTTGTTTTTAAGGCTGAATAAGATTCAATGCATGTGTATACTACGGGTTGTTTATCCATTCATCTGTTGATAAACATGTAGTTTGTTTCCACCTTTGGCTGTTGAAAATGATGTTTCTATGAACCTTTGCCTACTAATATCTGTTTGAATTTGTGCTTTCAGTTCTTTGATGGAATTGCTGCATCAATTCTATGTTTAAGTGTTTGAGGAACTGCCACGCTGTTTTCTTTGTATTTTTAAAAAAATATATTTTCATTGATTTCAGAGAGGAAGAGAGAGGGAGAGGAAGAGAAACATTAATGATGAGCATCACTGATTGGCTGCCTCCTGCATTCCCCACTGAGGCATCGAGCCCGAAATCTGGGCATGTGCCCTGACCCAGAATTGAACCTTGACCTCCGAGTTCATAGGTCAACACTCAACCACTGAGCCACGCCCGCTGGGCTGCCACTCTGTTTACACAGCAGCGGCACCATTTTACATTCCCACCAGCGGTGCCCAAGGATTCCAGTTTCTTCACATCCATGCTGACACTTGTTTTCTGCCTTTTTTTTTTTTTTTTTTAACTTTTAGTCTGTCTTTATTCTTTCATTTTTGAAAATTGGTACCTGGGGGTCACCTAAACTAGTGGGGGCAAAAGACCACTCACAGGTATACATGCTGTCTCCAGTGCCGCCAGGGGCAAGCATTTTTTGCTTTACCGAATCTGGGCTGCTTCATTGGCTTCCTGCCCTAGTGGCCCTTAGGAATGGCACCTGCTGTGCTGGGCCCTGGGCTTTATCTGGGTTTAGAGGCCAACTGTCACTAGTCCTGGTGACTAACTGCAGCAAGCACCCCCTCCACCTGGTTTTCGGTGGGCCCTACTATCAGGGTGTCACTGATACGAAGGATGACCAAAACGCCTGTGGTGACCTGGACTGGTGGGAGGCCAAGCCCTGCCCACTGGTGGCAGATTGCCAGGGGGTCGAGGTGTGCCTGCGGAAGCCTATTGGAAGTCTACTGCAGGTCGGTCCAAGTGAATGCAACGTGGTCCTCCTCTTCCTCCTGCAAGTGGAGTGAGAAATAAGCATTAGCCAGATTGATGGCAGATATGCCAATCTCCAGGGTAGGCTGTCACTATCTCAGTGATGGAGATGATGTCTGGCACCTCAGGGGCGAAGGGCACGGCCTTGGCATTCAGCCTGTGATAGTTCACTGTCAGCCTCTGTGCCCTGGAGGCCCTTTGACTGGCCAAACCAGGCTGTTAGATTGTGACACTGTAAGCCTTGATATCTGATAAGGTAAATCCTTCAGCTTTGTTTTTCAAATTTGTCTTAGCTATTCTGATCCTTTTTTGCATTTTCATATTCATTTTTAAAAAGCTTATTGTTTTACACACACACACACACACACACATACACACAATCTGCCAGTGATTGACTGAGATTGCATTGAATCTATAGATCAATTTGGGGAGAATTAAATGATGATAGACTGAGTCAACACAGTATATGAACATAGACCTTTTTTACAGAGGTCTTCTTTAAATTCTCTCAGTATTGTCTTATAGGGTTCACTATAGAAGTCTTGGGCATATTTTGTTAAGTTTATATATTAACGATCATTACCTGAATTAGTTATTTCATTAGAAATTGCCAATGGTGACTTTCTATCATTCATTATGCATTTATTAGCTAGACCATGTCTACACGTACTCACCTTCATCCCCTCAAGCAGCGGTTCTCAACTTGTGGGTCGAGACCCCTTTGGCGGTCGAACGACCCTTTCACAGGGGTCGCCTAAGACCATCCTGCATATCAGATATTTACATTACGATTCATAACAGTAGCAACATTACAGTTATGAAGTAGCAAGGAAAATAATTTTATGGTTGGGTCACAACATGAGGAACTATATTTAAAGGACCAGAAGGTTGAGAACCACTGCCCTAAAGGAATCTGATTTCCCTGATACAGAGTTCATACCAAAAGGCAGGATAAATGCCTAACTCTTTTTCTTTACTTACTGATTTTTAAACTGGTGAGTTGGTGCCTCAGCAACACCCCCAAACAACCTAGTTTTGTTTTTGTTGGGAGAGGCAGTCTCATGTGCAGAGTCCTTCAACCCCACTTCCCCGAACATTTTCTCCCCCAGATCAATGATGAAACTGGACTAAATTGTCAAAAACAGCTATTTAAGGGCTCTGGGAATTGACCAAAGGGGCGGATGACCAAGTTAGAAGGGGTTATTAATGAGACACTGGACTTGGTAAAAACAGTAGGTTCTGTGGTGATCCTCCTGGGATTGTTTCCATTTCTTCCAAAGTTTGTGGGAGGCACTACCAGGTGTTCAGGCTGTGAGAACGCACAGCTTCACTGCCAGAGGGGTCTCACTTGACTTGGAGTGAGCTGGAAAAACCCACGCCCAGCAGCGCTGTAAGTAATAATTGTGATCTCGGTGACAAACAAACAGGTAAAACCAGTGACTCCGCTGGTAGTCCTGGCTGGGACAAGTGGGAGACTGCCAACAATTTAACAGGAAGATCTGGAATAGGAGACAGTCAAAAGGTCTGGATAAGTTTCCACATGTCTGCACAGGGCAGACCAGAGAGGACCCTATATGCTATCTACATCAACAGCATGGTTGATGAAAGAAAAATCTGATAAGTTGGACATCATCAAAATTTAAAATCTCAAAAGAGACATTGATAAAATGACAAGTCAAGCCACAGACTAGGAGAAACTATTTCCAGGTTATAGATCTGATAGAGGTCTTGTGGCTGGAGTTACAATGAAGTCTTATAACTCAATTAATCAGAGGCCTGATTAAAAATGGGCAAACTATTTGAATAGATACTTCACTAAAAAACCATATGAATATTTAAAAATCCCATGAAAAGATGGTTAACACAATTAATATTAAAAAAATGTAACTTAAACCATAACGAGATACCAAGGCACCCACTAGCATGAGTATAATAAGAAATACAGAAAATATTAAGAACTGGGGTGGACGTGAATAAAATGAATCCTTCATCTATTGCTTATGGAACTGTAAAGTGGTATTGCCACTTTGGGTTACTATTCGACAGCATCGTAAAAAGTTAAAGAAACTTATTATATGACTCAGCAATTTCACTCCTGGGTATATATATCCAAGTGAAATGAAAACATGTTCATGCAAAAACTTATATGTAAATGTTTGTAGTAGCATTATACATAATATTCAAAACTGGAAACAATTCAAATATCCATCAACTGGTGAGTAGACCACCAAAATGCGGTACATCCTATATAATAAAAGGCTAACATGCAAATTGTCCCCTCAGGAGTTCCACTGACCAGGAGTTCGACTGCTTGCTATGACATGTGCTGACCATCCGGGGGTGGCATAGAATGAAGGAAGGCCTCGGCTGGCTGGCAGCTGGCAGCCAGGTGAAGGAAGGCCCTGATCGGCCCTGATTGGCGGCCAGGCCTAGGGACCCTACCTGTGCACCGGGCCTCTAGTTTAGCTATAAAATGAAATACTATTTTACAACATAAATGAATGAACTACTAATATAGTCATGCATATTGATGTTTCAGTTGATGATGGACTACATATACAATGGTGACCCCATAAGATGATAATGGAGCTGAAAAATTCCTGTCACCTAGTGACATTATCGCCATTTCAACAGCACAGCACACTGCATCACTCCCGTATCTGTGGTGATGCTGGTGTAAACAAACCTACTGGGCTGCTGGTTGTATAAAAGTAAAGCACGTGCAATTATGTATAGTACATAATCCTTGATAATGGTGATAAACAACCGTGATTGGATTAGGTATTTACTATACTAGATTTATTATTGTTCTGTTAGACTGTACTCTTTCTGTTTATCAAAAATTTCACGGTAAATCAGCAAGCGTGTTACCCCAGCAGCAGCCTCCAACATCTAGTGTTTACCTTTTCTTGATTGCATCATTTCTCTTATGCTTGATTAAATTTCATGTTGTTTTATATATTTTGTATAGCCTAGGTACACATGATTATAAAGTCTACAATATTTTTTTAAAAACGGTGAGTTACCTAGAAACCTGCCTTTAATATATTTTTTTTATTGATTTCAGAGAGGAAGGGGGAGGGAAAGAGAGAGAGAAACATCAATGGTGAGAGAGAATCATTGATCGGCTGCCTCCTGCACACCCCACACTGAGGATCAAGCCCACAACCCAGGCATGCGCCCCGACTGGGAATCGAACTGTGACCTCCAGGTTCATACTAGTAGGTGATGCTCAACCACTGAGCCACACTGGCCGGGCTTTTGAATTTTTATTAGAGTTTATTTGAGTCAAAACTGAAGACAACTGCCAGGAAGCAAGATCTCAAAATGCCAGGGAATAATAGTTTTATAGTTTCTTTTGTGTATTTGAAAGAAAGTGGTAGAGATCCAGGATGCGGCAGACTAGGTGGCTGCTACACTCACCTCCTCCCATGACCAAACTGGAATTACAACTAAAATATAGAACCATCAACCTGAATAACCAACTGAAAACTAACCTAAAACTTACAGAAGAAGCCACATTGAGACTGGTTTCCGAGACTGGCCCCACTCCCATGAGCTCCAGTGGGGATACTCCAGCTGCAGAGGTTCCCCCTGAGAAGTCTGAGGTCTCAAGCCCATGCCAGGCTCCCCACTCCAGAGGACCAGAGCTGGGGAGAAGTCCCCATTTGGCTGAGAAAATCTGTGGGGATTCTATCTTCCAGGGAGAGACAAGAGTCTGCTGGAGACACAGGTGTCCTCTTAAAAGGCCCACACACAAAAATCTCCTTTGCAGTCAGTCACTCACCCTGGGCTCCAGGGGAGGGAGGGCAGAGCAGACTGGAGTCACTTGAGGAGAGACCAGGGCTTGTGGCTCTAGGGCAGCCGTGGGCAAACTACGGCCCGCGGGCCGGATCCGGCCTGTTTGAAATGAATAAAACTATTGAAAAAAAAGGCCGTACCCGTTTATGTAATGATGTTTACTTTGAATTTATATTAGTTCACACAAACACTCCATCCATGCTTTTGTTCCGGCCGTCCTGTCCAGTTTAAGAACCCATTGTGGCCCTCGAGTCAAAAAGTTTGCCCACCCCTGGTCTAGGGAGAGAGCTGAGTGCTCCACAGGCGCCATCTTTCTTAGGTGGAGCACTCCCCTCCTTACAACATCATCCTGGAAAAGCAACAGCAACACCCTCTGTACGCTCTGTGCCCCACCCTGCAGGGATCGTGCCATGCTGAGGAGTCAGCTGCTTGGGGCAGGGTGTAGAGGTCTGGGCAGACTCAGGGGGTGTCACTGACTGAGTGGTGTGGCCTTGGGAGGCGAGAGATATCCCCGCTGTGAACCCAACTGGTGCATCCCCCTCATGGGAGATCCGCTAGCCACCCCTCTGGGCTCCAGGTGACCCCACCCTCTCCACTCCAGAGGGCCCCACCCTGGCAAAGTCTGGTCAGATTCCAGGACACACTGAGTGGCTGTGTGACTCTGGGGCGGGGGCCACTCCTCCCACCTTCCCCGAAGCCTGACCAGCAATCTGGCAACGCCCCCTCACAGGACATCCCCTGCCCCACCCTCCTGACCCCAGCGGCCCTGCCCTGTGGAGAACAGGCTGCTGGCAGAATCTTGAAGAGACTAAGTTGTGTGGCGCTAGGATTGGGGCTATTTTTTCCCGTGGATGCCCGCCTGAGGCAGAGCCATCCCGTCACATGGCCAAATCTTGGTCAGTGTGGGCCTCGTAAACCCTGCTGGCCTCTCCCTGATGACTCCCTGGGGCCCCACCCCACCAAAGGCCTATAGGCACCCAGCAGGTGACAGATGGACTTGGAACACCCTGGGACATTGGCTGAGTGGCCTCAGACCCAGCACTGGCACTGAGTTTGAACCTGCATTTATTTGGTGAATACCACCCACCCCTATCTGGTGGCTCACTGAGAACCCACCTCCTGCACCTCAAGTACCGCCAGAGGCTCTTTCAGTGACTGAGCTATCAGGCAGCTGGAGGGGGCGGGGGCGGGGGGGAAGGGGGCAGACGGAAGCAGATGTTGGGGTCCTCGGGACTTCTGCTGACTTGCCTGTGGGCCTGGTGCTGGTAAAATTCAGCCTTGGTGCACAGCTTGGTCCTTCCTGCGTACACCCAGGCCCAGTGGAGGCAGTCACAAACTGTGGGCCACTTCGTAGCTCCGAACAGGTTGCCCAGGGCCAGTCATAGGCCGTGTATGACTCTGGCCTCTACCAGAGTCCCTCCCAAGAGGCCCCAGAACTAACACACCCAGTGGCCACCTTCAGGCAACATCAGAACAGGATCCAATTACTTCACAAGCAGCAGATCCAAAGGGTATCTCTCTCTCTCCCTTCTTCTCTGAAATCAATAAAAGTATATTAAAAAACTAGAGGCCCAGTGCACGAATTTGTGCACAGGTGGGGTCAGGCCAGCCCACCCTGAGAGGGGCCGATCAGGCCAGGCTGGCTGGGGGGAGGGGCTGAGGGAGGTTGGTGGGCTGGCCCCACCCCCTGGCCAAACTCCCGGTTGAGGGGACAATTTGCATATTAGCCTTTTAATATATAGGATACATATAAAGCACATTCGACCAGCTAACTGTGGAGGTGAACAATGTGGAAATGAAGGAGTGGGGATAGAGAAAGGGTATAGAAAGGTATGTATATGTACATTCATTTGCAAAAAATAAGAGGGGAATGCAGATTGATTGGATGCTAAAAACTGGGCAATATGATTTACTCAGACGTCTTCATCTGAGACCCAAAGGTGGGGGGAGGAGAGGGGGAAATCCAGTAGAGAACTGTCTGCATCTTCAGATGAGTGGCTGCTTGGTGAGGTAGGGAGGGGAAAGAATGGAAGGGATCTACCGCAGGTACATCTGTGTGGTTTTATTTAAAAAAAAAAATAGCCTGTGTGTTAGTTAGAGGCACTACAGCACAGACATTGAAATCACAGGCTCTGGTGGTAGACTACCTGAATTCAAACCCCAACCTGCCAGTTATTTGTTGTCGTTTTGTTTTTAATCCTCACCCTAGGATATTCTCCCATTGATTTTTAGAGAGAGGGGGAGGGAGAGGGAAAGACAGAGAGAAATATCCATGTGAGAGAAGCACATCCATTGGTTTCTCCTGCACGAGCCCTGACCAGGGCCCGGGCCGGGGAGGAGCCTGCAACCAGGTATGTGCCCTTGACCGGAATTGAACCCAGGACCTTCCAGTCCACAGGCGGACACTCTATCCACCAAGCCAAACCAGCTAGGGTCCAATCTGCCAGTTATTAACCGCATGACTTGAGGGCAAGCTTCTGAACCTCTGTGTGCCTCAATCTCTTCATCTGTGAAATGGAACTGATGATAACATCTACCAGGTAGGGTTGCTGGAATAATGAAAATGTGTGTATTTTACGTGAGAATATATACATACTTCCACGGCACTTACCGTGCTTGGCACAGAGCCGCATATTACCCATTTATTCTATTATTCAAGAGACCTAAAGCGAAAATGACAAAACAGAAACCTCCCTTTCATGGTGGACATGCATACATTAGTTTAGGTATGTTTTTTGAAATTTTGTTTTTGAACTATTTTTGAATTAGTTACGAAAGAGAAAGAATACAAAAAGAATGGAAAGGAGTAAAGAATGAAGCAGGGTTTAAAAATTGGAGGATTAGAGAACGCAGAGGAAATAAGACATCTGTGGAGCTTTTGTTTTCCTTTCTTCTTAATGACTTTTTGATTTATTAGCCCTAAAATTCAGGGAAAGGAAACCGCTAATTCTGTAATGTTTGAGTCAGCGTCTGCTGCTAAAAGCTGTGATGAGGCGAAAGTGTGAAATCTTAGTTAAAATATACTTCATTTTGTCCTCTGTGTTCTTTGGAATTGCTTTATTGATCAACCGACAGGTTTTTTTTTTTCTTTTCTTGGTTATAGGCTGTGTTCCTACTTATTTGCATACCTGGTAATATTTGATTGGGTGGCAGACATTGTACATTTTATGTTATCGGGTGGTGGATTTTTTGAATTCCTTTACCTTTTTATGGGCTTGGATTAGAACGCAATAAGTTACTTGGAGTCAGTTTCCTTCTTGAGGCTGTTTTTTCTTTGTTGTTGTGGAATTTTACTAATGGGGTGGATGATACAATGATCCCTAAGGAGAAAAGACAGCATTGCAATTAAAAAAAATTCTAACCACGCATATATGCATTACCTATGGACACAGACAATAGGGTGGCGAAGGCCTGGGGTGGGGTGGGCATCGGGTGGAGGCGGACAATGGGAGGCCAAAAGAAGGACATCTGTAACACCCTCAACAAGAAAGATGAAAAAAAAACATAAATAATTCTAACCACGGTGGGAGATTTAACTGTTCATCATCAATTCTAGATTTCTATTTATGCCTATTTTTAAAAAATCTTTTTTAAAAAATTAAATTTATTAGGGTGACAGTGGTCAACATGAACATATAGGTTTCAGGTGTGGGTTTCTATGTTACAAGATCTGCATGTTGCACCCTGTGCCCTCCACCCAAAGTCAAGTCTTCTCCTGTCACCTTATATTCGGACTCCCTTCTCCCCCTACCCGCTTCCCTCTGGCAGCCACCACACTGCTGTTTGTGTTCACAAGTTGCAGTTTTATATCCCACACGTGAGTGAAATCATATGGTTCTTAGCTTTTTCTGGCTGACTTATTACACAAGCATAATGTTCTCCAGGTCCATCCATATTACAGTGGGGCCTTGACTTACGAGTGTCCCGACTAACGAGTTTTTCGAGATACGAGCTGTCTCTCGGCCGATTTTTTGCTTTGAGTTTCGAGCTAAAATTCGGGTTATGAGCCAGCTTCAGATACCCCACCGCCAGTTGGCACAGTGAACGTCACGGCGAACGCCACAACATCAGCCCAGCATCACATGTCTCACTCATTCACTGTTGATTTGACATACGAGTAATTTGAGTTACAAGCTCCGTCACGGAACGAATTAAACTCGTAAGTCAAGGCCCCACTGTATTGCAGATGTCGCTATTTCATCCTTTCTTGTGGTTGAGTAGTATTCCATTGTGTGTATATGTACCACATCTTCCTTATCCAGTTCTCTATCGCAGGACACTTTGGTGGTCTCCATGTCTTGGCCACGGTGAATAGCGCTGCAATGAACACAGGGGTGCATGTATCTTTTTGAATACATGATTGCCAGAAGCCAATTCCAGCATGTCATAATTGCAAGAGTTTCATCAAAAGGTTGATGGAACTTGGGGACTCAACAAGGGTTGAGTCACATATGTTGTCACCTGTTGGGAATGGCTGAAGGCATTTCCCCAAACCTGTAAAGGGATGGGTTGCTTGCTGCCAGACAGCTCAGGGCATCTTAATCTACAGACGATTGCCTCCTACTGGCCAAACACCTGAACAGCCGAAGGCAGTTTCTCCAAAACCTGATAATCTGACAATGGATTGTGTATACAAAACCTGGTCCTTTGATGTATATATCTACCTCGCCTTAGGACAAACTGTGTTAATTAAAAGCAAGGGGTCCTGAGACGAGGAGAACTTAGTTCCTTTAGCTAAGTCTTCTCTGACTCCCCATATGCCTTTCAAAATTAGGTTTCGTCTCTGGACTCTTATTTAATTTATGCACAGCCCTTCTCCAGATTGCTGATCCTTTCTAGATGCCGGATCAAGACCACCGGCGTTACATGATTTCGAGTTTATTGGGAATATACACAGGAGGGGGATTGCTGGGTCATATGGTAGCTCTATTCTTAATTTTTTGAGGAATCGCCAGACTGCTTTCCATAGTGGTTATACCAGTCTACATCCCCACAACCTCTCCAACTCTTGTTATTGCTTGTCTTGT